GGGTTTCAGTAATTCCTCTTGTTTATATTACCCTTGATCACTCCCTACCAGGCCTCCTACACTCTCCTCACCACCGATTTGGATCACTTGTTGTTCCCTTATCCCCTGGGTTTGTTAACACCACTACCTTTCCCCCACCTCCCCCTCTCCCATGTCCCCCAGGAACTGTCGGTCCGTTGTTTTCTCCTCCAGATTGTTCATCCAGCCTATTTTATTTAGACAGACCTCTGGAGGTAATAACATGCACAAAAACAAGACAGAGCAAAAGCAAGCAACAAAATAAAACAAAACAACACCACCAACAACAAACCAATGACAAAAAACAAAACAAAACACAACAGGAAAGAAAATCTTATAGTTAGTTCAAGGACTGTTTGTTGGCCTTTAGGTGTGTTTTCCAGTTGAGTCTGTTGGGGCGCCAAGCCCTAGCCCCAAAGTCTATTTTTGGTATTTGGGGACTTCGTTGCTCTCTTCCTCTTGCTGTTCTGTTCCACGCCCTTGGAGTTTTGCCTCTGTGTGGTGGGATCAGATCAGGTGGAATTCCCACACTGTGTCTCCAGTGCTGTTCCCTATAGGGCTCTAGGTCAGTGAGGGAAGTCCTGTCTCATAGTGGGACCGGCCATGTGGTCTCTGAGCGGGAATATCGTCGTCAAGGGTTGGTGGGCCAGGATGTGTTTCACACTCTCTTCCTCCTCCTTCATTTGGTGTCCTGTGCTCTGATCCGACGTGTCCCTCTTCTGGAGCTGCAGATTCAGTGCTGTCCTCTGAAAGAAATTCTTCTGGAGGAAAGGCAATTCGTTTGAGAGAGAGAGATTACTAAAGAAACAAGCAAGATGAAAACACACAGCTTTCTGAAGGTTCAGGTATCAAAAGCCTGTGTATACAGCTGGAGTTATGCAGAGGGACAGTGTTATGCAGAGGGACAGTGTCATGCAGAGAAGAACAGTGTTAGGAAAGTCTGTGTCCCAAATGAGCTCAGTTTGCCCACCAAACAAACAAAGGCGATAAAACAAAAAATAAAAAAAGAGACAATGAAGACGGCCAGAGATGTTTCAAGTTATTTAAGGAACAAGAAGGAAGGGAAGGGGTGAACAGATAAAAGACATAATTCTGAGGATGGTAACAGCCAGGGTCCTTAACCCATCATTTCTGTTGCTTCTCTGGTAGGAAATACTTTTTGGAGAGAAAAGTATGAAATGTACAGTGGATTCACATGAAAGAACAGGAGCAACTAGGTAAAACAAGGACTACAGCAACAGATAGATGGAACATATACTCAGGTTTATTTGATACCTTCAAAACAGGTGTGACTGAACTAGAAGTGAGGTCTAGCTGAGCGCGCCGAGAATTGCCATGCAGATCATGAATTGAGGAAAAGAGGAGAGACTCAAAACTGTGCGTGTTTGTATCCGTGTATGTGTGTGTGTGCTCATTCCATAAACCACCTACTGTGTCTTTGAAACTTATTCTAATCAAGAACTCAATACAAAGAAATGAAACCTCCCATATTTGGGTTTTAAAAAACTGAATGCAAACGAACAGGCTGGGAAAACAGAAATCAGTAACAGCAAATAGAATAAAGGGGTCTATGTGCTTTATTTCCTTTTTATTCTCTGAGGGTAAATACAAATATATATATTTTTAAATCCCCTCCACCTGGGGCCAAGAAATGAAAGACTCAACCCTTCTCTTTTCTTTCAGCATTTCTTTAAAAAAATTGCAGTGATAAGACCTTTGTGCCTATGAGGGACCTTTTAAAAGATTAAATAAGTCTCTTGCCACTTTTGCATCTTTTTGAAAGATAGGCATTTTGACTCCCTGCATCTGTGACAGCTTAGTGTACATGCTTGGTTTCAAACTGTACCTCCCTAACATGCTGTCATGTCACAGTGACCCTAGAGGACAGAGTACAAGTGACCCTGTGGGTTTCTGAGAATCAAATCTATGGCAATGAGCTTTTTTTGAGTAGCATATATCCAGAGCCTGGGTCACATAATGATCAGGTGTTTGGTGGCTAATCAAAATGTCAACAGTTCAAATCCACCAGCAGCTCAGTGGGAGAAAAGACCTGGTGATCTGCTCCCATAAAGATAAAGAATTCACTGCCATCAAGTGGATTCCAAGGCATATGAACCCTAACTAGGGTTTCTAAGATGGTACATCTTTATGGGCGGAGACAGTCTCAGCAATCTCCTGAGAAATGGCTGGTAGATTTGAACTGCTGACCTTTAGGGTAGCAGACCAATACTTAGCCCACAGTGGCACCAGGACTCCTTCCTATAAAGATTACAGCCTAGGTAACCCTATCGGTCACTATGAGGATCAACTTCGTGAGACACAAGAACAAAGAAAAGGACACGAATGTAATGGATGTGATTTACCTGGCTATTCTGAAGGGGGAGGCTCTCCCTGTCAGATCGCCTGTGTGCACATTACAGACTGGTTCTAGGCTCATTCAATAACACTGGCTCTTTCTTTTCTGTAATCTGTGGAGAAGATTTCTCTGGGTTTGAAAGAGATTTCATTTTTAATTACCCCCCCAACAATACATCAACAATATGATATGGTTGCCAAAACTTATTACTTTGGGGGAATTAATGAAATAACAGTGTTAAAGCTTCTATTGCACGCGCCCTCCCCTCTCCCTAAATATGTGTTGGAATGCTAACCTGTGAATCTGTAGATGTAATAACTTTTGGAAATAGGGACTTCTATTTTATGTTAATAAGCGTTATCACTCCAGGGTATGTCCTTCATCTAATGACTTGGATGATAATAAAGACAAGTAAGCAGGAAAAGTCCTATGGTGATTCCTTAAAGAACTGAGACAGCCCGCCCACTAGGGTCAGTGTGAATTCGGACTTTCAGCCTCCTCAACGAGAGAAATTAAATGTCTTTTCTTTAAACCTGTCCATTATGGTCTTTCTGCTATAGTGGCACTGGGGAATGAAGATAGTTTCTAGAATGAGAAAGATAGCAGCCCTGTTGTATACTAGCCTTGGCGTAGTTTGTTATTCTGTGTGCCTCTTTATAAAGGGAGTAAAACTGGAACATATTCAGAAGAGGGCAATGACAATGTAGTAACCCATCACAATTAGCCCCACTGTCACCATAATGTATTAGTTAGGTGTGGCCATTTTGTCAAGGTAACCAGACTGTGTTGCTTAGCCTGAGTGTGGCCATTGTGTCAATGTAACCAGACTGTGTTGCTTAGCCTGAGTGTGGCCATTGTGTCAATGTAACCACACTGTGTTACTTAGCCTGAGTGTAGCCATTGTGTCAATGTGACCAGACTGTATCACTTAGCCTGAATATAGCCATTTTGTATTGACCCAAGTGAGACCACTTTGCAACTACTGTAATTTCTTTTGCACCTCTGTAACTGCTGACCCATTGCCATTTATTTTTGAAATGGCTCATGTTGCTTGTAACCCCCCTTTTATTTTTTCCATGTATCATGAGGCCAACTGCCCTGGTGCCTTGTTTGTTCCACAGTATAAAAATGCACCACTTGAAACACTCGGGGTGGAGGGAAAATTAGGCTCTAGCCGCCCTTGACAGTCGGCTAATAACGGCTGTTCAACTTGAGTGTGGGATAATTGATATTGTATCAACAACACTGAAGAAACTCAAACTATGCAATGGAATGGTTGAAAGAACTAAGAATATTTCATCTGGGAAGGAAAAATCCTAGAGTCAGGGTAGAGGAGTGTTGCTGGGTGATACAACTGCTTTACACTTTGGACCTCCCTTGTAGCACCATGGAGAAACAGACCTGGGGGTCTGCTCCCAAGAAGATTACAGCCAAAAAAACTCTACTCTTTTCAAAGTCACAGAACAATGACAGCAACACAAACTGCAAAAACAGCAACAGGCTGAAAGTGGGAGGGGATCACTGAATGGGTTTAAATATATAGTTAGAATGCTGTCCTTGGAAGAGGGTGTAGGTTTGCTTTTCAGTTAAAAAACAGCTGATAATTTCTATTTAGTATAGGGGAGATGCTACCAATAATCTAAACAGCAGATAAAGTTCTCTTGTTCAGTTGTGAGCTGGGCAATCACTTGACGGGAAAATATAATGGATTTAATTACTTCTTGGGTGACATCTAACCTTCCAATTCAAAATAATCACTTAAAACAACAAGAACTCATTTTCTTGTTTTTCTTGTTGTTGGTAGGTGCCAAGTAGTTGGTTCCAGCTCTTAGAAAGCGAGAAAGAAAAGAAAAACCAGAACAGAAATACTGCCCTTTCGTGTATGCCAGTCTGACAACTGTGGCTATATTAGAGACTATTGTTACAACCAGGGTGTCAATCCATCCACTGGCAGTCTGCCTCTATCTCACTGCCCTCCACTTGACTAAGATTGATGTCCTTTTCCAAGAATTAGTCCCTCTTGATGGCATGTCCAAAGTATGTGACATCAAGTTTCATGAATCCTTATTTCTAAGGAGCATCCTGGATGAACTTTTCCCAGGACAGATTTATTCCTTTTCCTGACAGTCCACGGTGCATTCAGTATTCTTTGTCAACATCAGGCGTCCTCAAACTATGGCCCGCAGGCCACATACGGCCTGCAGAGGACATTTATCCAGCCTGCTGGGTGTTTTTGCCCCATTTGATTTTTTTACTTCAAAATAAGATATGTGCAGTGTGCATCGGAATTTGTTTATAGTTTTTTTTAAACTATAGTCCGGTCCTCCAACGGGTCTGAGAGACAGTGAACTGGCCCCCTGTTTAAAAAGTTTGAGGACCTGGCCAACATCATAATTTAGAAGTGTCAATTCTTCTCCAGTCTTCCTTATTTTCTGTCTAGTTTTTGAGGCATGTAAGGTGAATTGACAACATCATAGCTTGTGTTACGCACACTTGGTAATCTTTAAAGTGATATCTTTGCTGTTTTAACACTTTAAAATAAGTCTTTTGCAACAAATTTACCAAATGCAATATATCATTTGATTTAGTCATTGCTCCTTCCATAGGATCTGATTGTGGATCCAAATAAAATGAAATTCTTGATAACTTCAATCTTTTTTCCACTTATCCCAATGTTGCTTACTAGTCCAATTGTGAGGATTTTTAATTTTCTTTATGTTGAGTTATAATTTACACAGAACACTGCGGTCTTTGAGCTTAAACAGTGTTTCAAATCCTTCAATTACAGCAAGTAAGATTGTATCAGTGCAAGCTACAAATGAGCTTTCCTCAAATCCTGAGTTTGGGCTCTTTTTTTCTTTTTTAAAAATTATTTTATTGGGGGCTTGTACAACTCTTATCACAATCCATACATACAACCATTGTGTCAAGCACATTTGTACATTGTTGCCATCATTCTCAAAACATTTTCTTTCTACTTGTGCCCTTGGTATCAGCTCCTCATTTGCCCCCCTCCCTCCCCAACCCTCCGTCCCTTACGAACCCTGGATAATTTATAAATTATTTTTTCATGTGTTACACTGTCCAATGTCTCCCTTTACCCACTTTTCTGTTGTCTGTCCCCTAGGGAGCGGGTTATATGTAGATCATTGGGATCAGTTCCCCCTTTCTCCTCAACCTTCCCCTTAACCTCCTGGTATTGCTACTCTCAATGGTCCTGAGCGGTTTATCTGTCCTGGATTCCCTGTGTTTCCAGCTCTTATCTGTACCCGTGTGCATCCTCTGGTCTAGCCGGATTTGTAAGGTAGAATTGGGATCATGATAGTGGGGGTGGGGTGGGGTGGGGAGTTGTTCTTCTTATAGATCAAACATCACAGGCTATTTATTTGCTCAAGATACAGAGTGAATCGATACACTGGTATTAAGGTACTGGTAAGGAATATTGAAAAGTACTATGGACTGTCAAAAGAACAAACAAATCTATCTTGGACGAATGCAGCCAGAATGCTCTTTAGAGGCAAGGATGGTGAGAGTTTGTCTCCTACACTTTAGACACATAATCAAGAAAGGCCAGTCCCTGGAGAAGAACATCATGCTTGGCAAAGCAGAGGAGCAGCGAACGCGGAAGGCCCTCAACAAGACGGACTGACACAGTGGCTGCAACAATTAACTCAAACAATCAAACAACAGTTGTGAGGATGGTGCCGGGCCAGGCAGTGTTCAGTGCTGTGGTACACAGGATCGCTATGAGTTAGAACCAACTCAATGATAACAACGGAGTCTTCTTGCTTCCTACTTTCACATTTCTATCACCAATAATTATCAATACATCAATTTCATATTTCAGAAGTTAGTAGAAAATTTCACTAACTTCATTTTTGGCATTAGTAGCTCCATCCATGTCATTATGATCAACTCTACTTTGAGGAGGCAATTCTTTCAGTCTTTTTTTTTTAAATCAATTTATTGGGGGCTGGTACAACTCTTATCACAATCCATATTTACATCCCTTGTGTCAAGCACATTTGTACATTTGCTACCCTCATCATTCTCAAAAAATTTTCTTTCTACTTGCATCACTCTTTTTTGTGGGGGTTCAGTACTACCCCAAGTTCTTGTACTCACAGTCTTTTTTGAGCACCTTCCAACTTGAAGGTCTCATCTTTGAGCAACATACTCAACAACGTTCTGCGGCTACTCATTAGATTTGCAATGGCCACATTTTTCTGTACAAGTAAGGCCCTTCTTTCTAGTCTGCCTTCTCTGAAATCTCTCTACTGTGGGCAACCCTGTTGGTATTTCAAATAGCAATGCCATAGCTTCCAACTTAACAGCAACACTCAAGCTACCATAGGACAACAACGTGAGAGCCTTACCTCTGTATACTTCTCAACTTATTTTCAAGTAAGTGGCTACTTCCTCTAAACATTAAGTTAAAGAACTGTATATACAAACCTCTGCAGCAGCATAACCAGGATAGACTTCAACACCAAGGGCTTCTGCTTGTTCTCCCATCCAGCTCACTAAATGTCCCAGGCGTACAATGTAATTGCCATGATTATTCATTGGAAGACCTAGAAGTATACACTTCGTTAGTCTGACTTTTATTGATAAGGCATCTCAAAAGCACAAATACTTAATTTGAAAACTCTCATGGTCACAAGTTCAACTATTTCCAGTAATTCTGGTAATGAGTTCTAATGTAGTAAATTAAAAAGATTTTTAGTACTAAATTAAAAATTCCTGATTGGCATAAAGGCTGCAGTTCAATTCTTCTGGTCTGGAAGACCAAAGAACCGGCTTCTGCTCCTGTGTTCTCACCAGCGAGCAGTTTAACTCTGGGTTGATCTTTCAAATCTCTGGGTCTCATTGGTGAAAGGAGGGGACATGGCCAATGAAATATAGTACGTTCCAGCTATAGGATTCTATGATTGTTTATCCAACCTTACCTGGAAGAATTGGTACAGGAATTCGGTATTTTTTGGTTAAAATTCCAAATCTGTCCTCTGTTACAGGAGTTTTAAGTGGGGCCTAGAAACAAAAGAAATGTTAAAATATCTTATGAGCAATTTATGTGAATAATTATTAATTCAATCCACTCCACTTAACCCCCAAATTGGAATTTTCCCTGGTCCCAAAAGGGAGAGAAGTCTTCTTCCCAAAAGTTACTTCCCTTGGAAAATGATCATGGAAATGCCTTTTCTGTCTCTGAGAGGTTATGTCAATCTTTTAAAAGCTAAATATAGCTCCTGTGAGTTCTGCACCCCAGGAATGTAATCGCGTGGGACTTGGAAGCCTCTTTGAAGTGTGACCATCAAAGAGGATGATGCCCTGGGCCTCAGCCACTCTGAGCGTCTGCTGAGAGCCCAGCCCAGCCACTGCACTTCCAGTCGTTACTTCCTGGTCATGGGAAAGACATGCGTGTGTGTTTTTTCCCTTTAGGTAAAGATAATTTACATGCACATATAAAAAAGGGATGGCACAATTCCTTTTAAAAAATCTAAAATGAGAATTACCATATGACCCACTACTTCTACTGCTAGGGACAGACCCTGGGGCTTGAGAGCCACGCAATGAGCAGCACTGGTCAGGCTTGTTCGCTGCCGCACTAGTCACTGTAGCCAAAGGGGGACAGCCAAATGCCATCTCTGTATGAATGGATAAGCAAAATGTGCGACTTAGTTTCTTGGCACTTAATATTGCCGAACGGTGAGCATAACTGAACTTTTCCCCATTTAATTTACTCCACATGGAAAGAACACAAATAATATTTACACAACTTTTAATACATACAATGGACTACTACCCAGCCGGAAGGAGAACTTAAGTCTTGCAATAGGCTGCTATCTGAATGGAGCTTGAGAACATTAGGCTGTAAGAAGTTACAGAATGACAAATAGTGCATGACCTCACTTATATAAAAAGATAAGACTAAACAAAAGTTATTAGTAAAACTGAAGTTTTTTAGTTGTTACAGGGGCAGGAAGGTGGGGGAGAACAGAGGGTTATTGGTTATGCAACACCAAGTACCAGTTAAAAATTACAGAAAAATCACATTAACTATAAAGTTTGCACAACTGATTAAGGTCAATAAGTTGTACACCTTTAGAAAGAAGTGACAAATGTAACAAATAACTATTTCCAAGGAAGTGCTTTGATTTATTTAAAAAAAACACTTTATTGGAATATAGTTTACATATTATAAAATATAATAGTCCAGTCATATTAAAAAGATGTGCGCAATCATCACCACAATCAATTTAAGAACATTCTCTTCTCATATTTATTGTTGTTAGTGCCTCATTTCCCATTATGTCCTTATACAGTTATAGAATTAAAAGACAATGGAATTTTCCCATGAACTTTTTGAAGCGTCCTTATAGCTACAATTATCATTCAAGAGAGTGACATGAAAAAAAAAAGTCCACAGTCCAATAATTTGGAAACAGAGAAACAAATAAAATTAGGGTTTGTGTAAAATTGGTATTTCCCTACCCCTTTCTCCTTCCAGTCTGGGAACAATTCTTCAAAAGCACATGGATCAAGGCAGGCTCCCGAGAGAGTGTGAGCTCCGATCTGAGCAGCTTTCTCCACCAGACACACTCGGAGATCCTTCCCATGCTCAGCAGCCAACTGCTTTAGACGAACAGCTGCAGAGAGCCCGGCAGGCCCTGCACCGACGATGACCACATCGGCTTCCTCTGCAAACCGCTCCATGCTCACTCCTGGGAACAGGGGAACCAAACCGGATTCTGGGATCAAGGTGGCCTCATGCCCCAGTCTGTGCTAGTGAAGACCCGCTAGGCTGTAGGTTACTGCGCACAGAGTGCTGCTCCGTTCTGCACAGTCATCGTATCACATGTATCGTGGTATTAGTTTTATGTTTTCTTGGATATTGCTCCGTGGCTATGGCATTTTACTTTCCACAAACCAATTTTCAACTTTGAGATTCATTATTGCAAACATAGCACATATGGGCTTATCCAAATCAGTACAAAATGAATTTGATAAGACTAATAGATTATTAGCTGCTTCTAAACTACCACGAAAAATATAGCATCGCCCCCACACACCAAAAAATATGTACTTATATAGCATCCCTCTTCAAGAAATGACATAAAGTATCCAGAAGTTTCAACAACTTTGCAGGAATTCTGACTTACCCTCCCATCGCTTGTCCTTGTCTCGGGGAAAGATCGTATAGTGGGTAGTAATTTGGGGTACAGCAGAACTTGAAGTCCATCTTGTGACACACAGCGGCAGACATTTCTTCTTAATTTTTAAGGCACGAAAGCCCTGATATGCTGCATAAAAATCATATACATAATCACTTATTTCAATTAGTTTTCATTAAGAATAAACTGAAAACACACTTTTAAAGAAAAAAATCCAGGACTGAGATTCAGATCTGGTTTCTGATTAGTTTTCTGTAACTAGCCCTAAGCCCATAAGCCCTAGTGACACCAAGTTACATGCTTAGCCATTTCCTCAAAGCTGGCAGCTCAAATCCCCCGACCATTCCATGGGAGAGAAGTCCTGGTGAGCTGCCATGGAATGATTACAGCCTAGGAAACCCTATGGGCAGTTCTCCACTGCCTTTTGGTCACTGTAAGTTAGAATCAGCTTAATGGCAAACAAGACCTTAAGCAAATTATTTAACTTTGCTCGATTTCCGTTTCATGTGAAAATGAAAAAGGGTCATGAGATGATCTCTAAGACAGGTTCTTGCCACGAAACTCCATTATTCCACTTGAGCGCTTGCGATGGAGACCTGTTCCTTTATGGCAGACAAGATGAGCAAGACAGGCAGCCAGTTAATTAACTCTGGCTGCAGGCTTGGGTCTAGTGCACCTTCGTCCTCAAAGTGGCATTTTGCTTCTGAACACTTTAGAGGTCTTATCTGCACAATGCAAGGTATCATTTGATTTCTTGACTGCTGCGTCCATGTGCAATGAAATCCTTGACAACCTCAATTTTTTCTCCATTTATCATGTTGCTTTTATATCATGATGGTCCATTTCTGAGGATTTTTGTCTCATGCTGAAATACATGTAATCCATATAGAAGGATGTAGCCTTTGATCTTTATCTGTTATGTACTTCAAACCCTCTTCACTTTCAGCCAGCAAGGTTGTGTCAGCTGCATAATTCTGAATGTTAATGAGGCTTCCTCCAATTCTGATAAAGAATTCTTTATCTACTCCAGCTTCTATTAATTGCTAAGCAAACAGAATGAAAACACATGGTCCAAGAATACAGCCCTGACATGTGCCTCTCCTGATTTTAAATCATGCTGTATCCACTTGCTCAGTTTGAAGAACTGTCTCTTGGTCTAATGTTCTACATGGCATAATGCAGTGTTCTGGTATTCCCGTTCTTCCCAATGCTAACCATAGTCCACACAGCTGAATGTCTTTGCAGTCAATAAAGCACATCTTTTTGGTATTCTCCGCTTTCAACCCAGATGCAATGATATTCTTCTGCTCATGATGAATAAGAAAAAAATGATGAGTTGATGCATACGAGTTTTGGTGTTAGTAAATACTGAATATAATAGCAAAGACTGCCAGAAAAACGAATAAATCTGTCTTGGAAGAAGTACTTAGAATACTCCTTAAAAGCAAGGATGGCCAGTGTAGCAACGATGAAACACACAACTTTCTTCTAGTTCCTAATCAACTCATTTTATTTTTTTAATTTTTATTTTTTTAATCATTTTATTAGGGGCTCATATAACTCTTACCATAATCCATACACACATCAATTGTGTAAAGCGCATTTGTACTTCATTCTCAAAACATTTTCTCTCCACTTAAACCCCTGACAT